GCAGGGCCGCGCCGACCGCCGGCAGCGCCTGTGTGCGGAACCTATGAAGCGCCTCTTTTCCATGAAGCTAAAGATAAAAATGGAGGGCAAAGTTGAAACAAAAACTTGAGTCAAATACCTACTTATATCTATCTCGCTCTCTGTGGCCCTACCTCTCTTTTTAGTGTGAACTGTAGTATTGCTATCTTCTTATTTAAATCTCCTTGTAAATTCTTCGAAATAGCCAATTCACTAACCAAATATGTATGTTTTTTACTCTTTTACGCAACAACTACTTAACAGATTTTGTTGAAACTTTACAATATTGTCGTTTATACATCAAAATAACAAATGGCTAGTTATAATAACATTTATTTTACCATAACTTAAAAAAAACTTTAGAAAATAAAATATTTTGTTTTATTTTTGATTACTCTGACTCCCAACTTTGATTACCCCGACCATGAAAATTTTGATGTCGCATAACTTTTTATTCCTGCTTGCTACAGATGGGCCAATATAAAAAATATGCTCGTAATAATGTCTATTTTGAAATGTTTTACCTAAACTTACTCTAAATTCAAAAATAAAAAAGGTCGGGGTAATCAACAAAATAATCCAGATCCGGAGAATGACCGTTAAACATACTTAAATTATAATAAATATATCCACTTTTGACGCTTTTTTGTTTAATATTATAAATGGGAAAGTAACTCTGTCTGTCTGTCTGTCTCTCTTTCACGTCAAAACTACTGAACCGATTTGAATGAAATTTGGTACACAGATAGTCTACTGCCTGAGAAGGGACATAGGCTACTTTTTATTGCAAAAAAAAGGGTTGTTAGGGGTTAAAGGTTGTATGAAAGTATGTATTCGCTTTCACGTCAAAACTACTGAACCGATTTGAATGAAATTTGGTACACAGATAGTCTACAGCCTGAGAAGGGTACATAAGCTACTTTTTATTGCAAAAAAGGGGTTTTAAGGGGTTGAAAATGGGGATGAAATGTTGTATGAACCGATTTTCATGAAATTTGGTATACAGATAGTTTAGAGCTTAAGAAAGGATAGAGGCTACTTATTATTGCTAAAAAGGAATTTTAAGGGGTTGAAAAGGGGGATGGAAGGTTGTATGAACCGATTTGAATGAAAGGTACACAGATAGTCTAAAGCCTGAGAAAGGACATGGGCTACTTTTTATTTCTAAAAAGGGGTTGTAAGGGGTTGAAAAGGGTGATGAAAGGTTGTATGAACCGACACGGTCATCTCTCCTATAGCGCGACCCAAATACTAATGGCCACGGCTGTTTCGGCGACTATTTATTTCGGAGTTTCGGATATAGGACGGGAGCAAAGTGCCAATTGCTGGCATTGTCGAGAAGGCATCGAGGATTTCGCGCAGCACACACTCGAAGTGTGCCAAGCTTGGGTGGCAGAGCGCGAAATCCTCGTGGAACAGGTAGGACAAAATCTCTCTTTACGGGCCATCCTGCCTCGTATGCTAGAGAGCCCAGATGCATGGCATGTGGTGCTCCACTTCTGCGAGGAGGTCATGTCGCAGAAGAAGCGGCGGAGAGGGAGCGAGAGGCCTCGCCTGATGTTCCACTGAACCGTCGCCGACGTCCAGGACACCGCAGGAGACACTACCATATCCATGCCCCTTCTAAAGGGTCCTCGGCCACTAGACACGAGGGTGTTTGGTGGCCGCTAAAGGAGGACCCGTGGCGGCGGCGCGCGCATGGTGTTCACGCGCACCGTTAGCGAAGACCAGGGGAGGTACTACTCCCCTGAAGCCAGTCGTCCCTCGCTCAAACAGAGCGAGCCACAGTCTTGGGCGGAGCCGCGAAAGAATGTCTAGGCCGTCTAGCTCGGACAATAACTCGCAGATCCGTCCCAAAGACTTCGGGAGGACAACGTCAGATTTTAGTGAGTAGGCCCTGCCCATCTGGCAGGGAGAGCCTCTCATAACCTACTGGTTCCAGTTGTCTCCGGGCCAGTGGGTATGAAATTTCATGCATTTCCTGACGAAAAAAAAAAAAGGTTGTATGAATCGATTTGAATGAAATTGTGTAGGTACACAGAGGGTCTAGAGCCTGAGAAAGGACAGAGGCTAATTTTTATTGCTAAAAAGGGGTTATAAGGGGTTGAAAAGGAGGATGAAAGGTTGTATGAACCGATTTGAATGAAATTTGGTATACAGACCAGAGTCTGAGAAAGGACATAAGCTATTTTTAATGCGAAAAAGAGGTTGTAAAAAGGGGATAAAAGGTTAAATGAATCAATTAGAATCTTGAAACTTATTTTTTAGGCTTTTGATTATTTTATTGTTAAGAAAACACACAGCATTCTAAAACACATATAGAGTTACCAATCAAACTCAACATTCACTTACTTATCAATTAGACAGAAATAAAAATGACATTTAAAGTTTCTAAGAATGTTACCCTAAAGGGAGTAATAAAATTAAGGGATGAAAGTTTGTGTGGAAAGAGAGACTTGTTTAATAAGCGTAATATTTGTTTTGTTGTGTACAAGGCCTATGTTGCGCATACTGTACCTACTTACTTATCGATACTCCATTTAAAAAAAAAATAGGTGGCAGTAGCAGCGGTGCGGCGCCCCTATTGTCTTGGCGCCTGTGTGCGCCGCACACATCGCACACAGGGGCGGCGCGGCCCTGCCTACAGGGCTCGTTTAATTTTTATTGACGAGTACTTTAATCATAGATGGTAACCATCAGGGTCTGATGATGGAGCCGAAAGGTGTCCATANCCCGTGGCGGGGGCGCGCGCATGTGTTCACGCGCACCGTTAGCGAAGACCAGGGGAGGTACTACTCCCCTGAAGCCAGTCGTCCCTCGCTCAAACAGAGCGAGCCATAGTCTGGGGCGGAGCCGCGAAAGAATGTCTAGGCCGTCTAGCTCGGACAATAACTCGCAGATCCGTCCCAAAGACTTCGGGAGGACACCGTCAGATTTTAGTGAGTAGGCCCTGCCCATCTGGCAGGGAGAGCCTCTCATAACCTACTGGTTCCAGTGGTCTCCGGGCCAGTGGGTATGAAATTTCATGCATTTCCTGACGAAAAAAAAAAGGTTGTATGAATCGATTTGAATGAAATTGTGTACACAGAGGGTCTAGAGCCTGAGAAAGGACAGAGGCTAATTTTTATTGCTAAAAAGGGGTTATAAGGGGTTGAAAAGGAGGATGAAAGGTTGTATGAACCGATTTGAATGAAATTTGGTATACAGACAGACCAGAGTCTGTTTTGATTATTTTATTGTTAAGAAAACAGACAGCATTCTAAAACACATATAGAGTTACCAATCAAACTCAACATTCACTTACTTATCAATTAGACAGAAATAAAAATGACATTTAAAGTTTCTAAGAATGTTATCCTAAAGGGAGTAATAGAATTAAGGGATGAAAGTTTGTGTGGAAAGAGAGACTTGTTTAATAAGCGTAATATTTGTTTTGTTGTGTACAAGGCCTATGTTGCGCATACTGTACCTACTTACTTATCGATACTCCATTTAAAAAAAAAAGGTGGCAGTAGCGGTGCGGCGCCCCTATTGTCTTGGCGCCTGTGTGCGCCGCACACATCGCACACAGGGGCGGCGCGGCCCTGGGAAGGAAGTACAAATTTGAGAGTAATAAATTTTTTCGTAATTAAAACAATATACCTAGCTAACTCAGCAGCAAGCAATTAAGTATTGTTTTTTTATTGTTCCTCAATGGTTAGTTAGACCACACAGATAATATAATACTTAGACGTAATCCAACGTTGTTTTGAAAATAGCATGAGAAATTTTAATTTGACTACTCCCCGCTAGATGGCGCCATACCTAAAATTCAAGGAAAATAATTTCCTTTGCACTTATTTATTTATGATTAAATTTATGAATGCATTTTATTGTGAAGTAAATATGAAGTAGATAGGAATATAACAAATAAATTACTACCTATTTCTTAGAGAAATCAAAATTATGGGAATGATGACCAAATCATCATGCTAAAACTCCCACGAGAATAAAAAACAATTCCCCAACAAAATGAGCAGTCACCCAACCCAACCATCATCATAACAGTCATTTTCCGTAAATGCTTATTCACTTTTCCACACATTATCCACGCTCTATGCGCTTTCACTCTAAAAATCATTATGTCCTACAACACAAGATTGAAAATCTTCAGTTTTGTCAGCAAATGCAACGTTGTAACATGTGATTTCTTAGTTTTCTCACGCTGTTTAATCTAGATTTCATGGTATGATGAGCATGATCTCTAAAACCAATGTCCAAGCATGGGGAAAAATGCACCACACACATAAATTAGATCTGCTACGAAAGTAAATAATTAATGGGCTGTGCTGGTGTGATGTGGCTAGGGCTTCAAACCCACGTTACCCCTGACGATACCCCTGGGGGTATCGTGGGTCCTTCGACCACGGGCCGGAAGACGTAGTGTGGTGAAGGTTGCGGGAAGCACCTGGATGCGAGCAACGCAAGTCCGGGATTAGTGGAAATCCTTGGGCGAGGCCTTTTCCATCGGTGGACGTTCTTTGGTTGAAATAACCACTCCCACTCTTCCCTTAGAGGCACTTAGCGAAAAATGCGAACATCAGGCCTCCCCAATCCGTCTAGCCAGCGTGGGGAGTGTAGGCCAACTCCTTCCTTTTGTCCTCTAGTCTAGTAAATTGAAGAGGATCGTTCTCCTAGTGGAGGGTGAATATCCTGATGATGACCTATTTCATAATGGGAAATAAGCACATTAGTATATTTCTCAGCAAAGGCTGGATACTGCAGGTTTTCTAATTAAAACACAATCTTCAGTTTTCACTTGTGTATTTGTGGGAGTCGAGACGACTTCTACATTTTAATGTTGCCATGCAACAAGGCCCGGTGTCCCGATGTAGTGGTAGGTAGGTTAAAGTTAATACCTACTGGGACATCTACAAGCGCTTTTTAAAAGCCCATTTGCAGATAATAATGGCTTTTTAATAACTGGCATATTGTTGTTCCAGAAAATGTTCCAATACGAGTACGAGAAGCGGCCGCCGTCAGCCGGCTCGTGCGACAGCCGCGCCACCGTCACGACCGACTGGAGCCGCCGCTACCCGCCCCCCACCCCCGCCAGGGCCAGGCCGCTGCCGTGCGAGAGGGACAGAGCTGTGAGTATATTATCTTCTACCCTCAAATTTGCAAAAAAAAAAATTTTAGTTTGTCAGGTCAGACTCAGACCGATGATTTTGGCATCCACCAGCGTGTTAGTCAATTTTGCGAACCCTTCACAGAGCGAAGTTTTACAAATAAAAAACGAAGATGCTAGTGATTTTGGACTAATCTGTTGAGTTTCACCAAAATGAAATTCCACTGACATTAATCACGAAATCTCAGAAACTACTTATTAATAACATCTACAAACTTGGCAGGTAGGTTCCTTATAGGGTGTAGACATCCGCTAAGAATGGATTTTACGAAACTCTTTTACGAAACTCTACCCCTATGGGGTTAAAACGGGGTCCACGTCCACGCCTACGAAGTCACATTTTTAGTTACCCATACAAATTGGTTTGAAACTATGAAGAGATTTATAAATGATACTAAGAGCTAAGAGAAACATGGCTACCTTAATAGTCATATGAAAGTTTTCTGCGTCCGACGCGAGAGAAGCCGCCGGAAGAAGCTTCTTAGTTTATGTATAGGTAAAGCAGGCAGATCCCACTCTATCACCTCTAGCGTAAGATGGCATGGTTGGTGGAGTCACTTGTGATTATACACCGCGAGCAAAAGCAGGTTGACTGCTATCGTTGGGTAACGAGCAACACGTAATACAGGAAATGTATGAAGTCTATGCGCAAGCGCTGGATTTGAGCCGATGATAGAGCGTGCATTCCAATTTTGAATTCAAATTACATTTTGACGTTAAATGTCAATTGTTGCTCAAATTTTGGGTCAAAAGGTGTAATCGTCAGAACTTACGATAAACCTAATGACAGTTCAAAGTTTATTTCTCAGGTGCGCGACACACGAACCAATCACAGAGCTCTATTCAACGCTGTGCGTTCGATTTGCTGCTTCACTTAAGCAAGCATCGTTTGTGAATAAGGGTGTATTTCCCGTTTTTTTAATTTTTCTTTACTGCGCCGCCCCTTTTCGGCTATACCTATAGTTTTGCCGCGTGAAATTCCGTTTGTCATAAATTATAGCACTTAGTAAAAAATAATATTGGAAAGTTTAATCAAAATCCGTTCAGTAGGTACTTTTAGCGTGAAGAAGTAACAATCATACACACTATATTAGTGTGATTGTAATAATTAGTATAGATACTTAGTTGGAAAAAAAACTTAATAAGGCATTTGATTAGTGGTGGTGGGCAAGCTCATGAAAGGGCCTAGCATAATAAATGATTTGTACTTTTCGGCACGGGATTATTCCCACCTCTCGTTCCCACCACTGCAACTCTGTGTAGCCAGGATCTACAGCTTGACCGCCAATAAAAACCCAACCAGTGAAGGTCAAGTTTGTCCCGGGGAAAGTTAAACTCATTGGACCCGCAACGAAATTAATCAGAAGAACATAGGAGGAGCTCGAAGTTAAGGTTCGACTACCTGCAGCTTTCGACAAAGGAAAATTATAATGTATGATGTCATAGAGCAATAAATTGGTCATTTTGATCGTCTTTTATTACTAAAAATACACTCGAAGTAGCGCAATAACAAAATACAAGGCAAATAGCGCTAAAGGTCAGAGTAAGGCGCAATGAATTATGCAAAACGGACAGCGGCACAAATTCAACCACGGAAACGAAGTGTTCCGATTGCATTTAACTGTCTTTATACATGAAATAATCGGCTGCATGCTTTCTCTGGGACAATTTAGGTGTTGGTAATTAGGCCAAACTTTTGTTCCTTATTAATAAGTAAGTATTTTTAGGCGCTGCTGCACATTTGACTGCACATTTTTAGCATATAAAATTTTGTAACGTAAGTTCAACACTCACAATTTTCTGAAGAACAGCACCTGGGTATAATTTACAACTACACAAGATGTCTCAAGAGTTTACTTTGACCATAGGTCAGATATTTCGCTCCACGAGTAATTCGGACCGCGGTGCGAATCTCCCAAAAATACTTAACACCTTCGCTGCCAGCCTAAAAATGGCACTGTTCCGTTCGGGCCATGGGGGACAATGATGGGCGACACTTTAACTTTCCGTTCGGGCCGCGTCGGACAATGATGACCGCGAGTCAGACCTATGTTTAAACCTCTGTATTGAGCCGATGGACAGCATTTCTTCAATAATTCTCATATAAGCTGACCCGCGCGGCTCCCAAGATAAGTGTACGTCACTTGGTTNTAACAATCATACACACTATATTAGTGTGATTGTAATAATTAGTATAGATACTTAGTTGGAAAAAAAACTTAATAAGGCATTTGATTAGTGGTGGTGGGCAAGCTCATGAAAGGGCCTAGCATAATAAATGATTTGTACTTTTCGGCACGGGATTATTCCCACCTCTCGTTCCCACCACTGCAACTCTGTGTAGCCAGGATCTACAGCTTGACCGCCAATAAAAACCCAACCAGTGAAGGTCAAGTTTGTCCCGGGGAAAGTTAAACTCATTGGACCCGCAACGAAATTAATCAGAAGAACATAGGAGGAGCTCGAAGTTAAGGTTCGACTACCTGCAGCTTTCGACAAAGGAAAATTATAATGTATGATGTCATAGAGCAATAAATTGGTCATTTTGATCGTCTTTTATTACTAAAAATACACTCGAAGTAGCGCAATAACAAAATACAAGGCAAATAGCGCTAAAGGTCAGAGTAAGGCGCAATGAATTATGCAAAACGGACAGCGGCACAAATTCAACCACGGAAACGAAGTGTTCCGATTGCATTTAACTGTCTTTATACATGAAATAATCGGCTGCATGCTTTCTCTGGGACAATTTAGGTGTTGGTAATTAGGCCAAACTTTTGTTCCTTATTAATAAGTAAGTATTTTTAGGCGCTGCTGCACATTTGACTGCACATTTTTAGCATATAAAATTTTGTAACGTAAGTTCAACACTCACAATTTTCTGAAGAACAGCACCTGGGTATAATTTACAACTACACAAGATGTCTCAAGAGTTTACTTTGACCATAGGTCAGATATTTCGCTCCACGAGTAATTCGGACCGCGGTGCGAATCTCCCAAAAATACTTAACACCTTCGCTGCCAGCCTAAAAATGGCACTGTTCCGTTCGGGCCATGGGGGACAATGATGGGCGACACTTTAACTTTCCGTTCGGGCCGCGTCGGACAATGATGACCGCGAGTCAGACCTATGTTTAAACCTCTGTATTGAGCCGATGGACAGCATTTCTTCAATAATTCTCATATAAGCTGACCCGCGCGGCTCCCAAGATAAGTGTACGTCACTTGGTTCTCAGGTAAAGCTCGGACTTAGAAAAAAAAATGTGGATAACGGTAGCGCAATGAAACATGGTAATTATACAATGTATTTTTGCAAATTTATCAACTTTTTAGCAAGATAATAACGGTTTATTAATTAAAACATATCGTTTACTTATTTTATATAATTTATAATATGCAGGACAATAAAAAAAAATCACTGTCATTGTTGAACAACCACTTTGTACGAAGGGTTGGTACAGGTACTAAGTTCTTTGTACAGCTACAAAACTTATGCCATTTAAACCTTATTAGTGGCATAAATTATTGTACTTATTAGATGCTTACACCTAGCAGGATTGTCGAGAAAAATAGATTTGTTTAATGTATTAAAAAAAATTTTTTCTCTTTTCGATACTCTATTCGAGAACATTTTTTATTATTCATGTAGGTCAAATTATTGGCATGTTAAATCAGCTATGTCATTATAATTATTTTTAATTTTGAGTATACAGGGTGTTTGGCGCATCGTGTGCCAAAATGATTTGGCAGATAGAATGGGTCATTTCCTATATTTTCAGCCCCTATAACACGTTCCATGCCAGGCGGCTACTTTTATATTATTTTTTTTAGTAATTTCACCAAAATACCCAAATCGCATCATTTAATTTCGATTTAAAAAAAAACTACTAGGCGTAGCCTCAAAGTAAATATTTTGTTTTGACGTGCATTGATGTAGGGTTGCATCAAATCTAAATTTACTGGCAAATATCATCTAGTTTTTTTTTTATTCAGCTTTGAAGTTTTCCGAAAAGTTAAAAATGGACTGAACATTTAAGTTTACATGGCTATAAAAAAATAAATAAAAGAGATAGCGATCTTCGGATTTTATCAAAACTTCTCTAGTCTATCCCCATTCAAACGGTATACTAATCTTATTTAAATAATAACAATAACTTCACAAATTCCTTAAATTAGTGCAATTACTCTACTCGGACTGATTTGCGAAATTTGTGTTTATAGCCCCTTTTTGTGTGAATAGCACGTTATTAAACACCTAACAGGTAAAAATTATTTATCTTATGCAATGTAAAAACCTTTTCCCTATCGTTTTTCAATGTGGATTTCTTGAATTTAAAGACGAAAACAATTATTTTGATCGTTTATTAATTATTACAAATTTAGTTCAAAATGACCGCCTCGGCAACGTATACACTTACGACATCTTCTTCTAATTTTGACTGTTGTCGTATGCAGCCACATTTCTCTTTTTATTACTACAAAGACGTTTTCTACTCGTGGATTAGAAGAGATGGCCCTATACAGTGGCCTGCACGTTCCCCAGACCTAATTCCGTTAGATTTTTACGTCTGGGGACGAGCTAAAGAACTGGTGTACGTAACGGATTCAAACAATAGAAGAACTACAACAACGAATAAAAAAAGCCTTTGTAGTAATAAAAAGAGAAATGTGGCTGCATACGACAACAGTCTAAATTAGAAGAAGATGTCGTGAGTGTATACGTTGCCGAGGCGGACATTTTGAACTAAATTTGTAATAATTAATAAACGATCAAAATAATTATTTTCGTCCTTAATTTCAAAAAATCCACATTGAAAAACGATAGGGAAAAGGTTTTTACATTGCATAAGATAAATTATTTTTACCTGTTAGGTGTTTAACGTGCTATTCACACAAAAAGGGGCTATAAACACAAATTTCGCAAATCAGTCCGAGTAGAGTCAATTCACTAATTTAAGGAATTTGTAAAGTTGTTGTTATTATTAAAACAAGATTAGTATACCGTTTGAATAGGGATAGAATAGAGAAGTTTTGATAAAATCCGAAGATCGCTATCTCTTTTATTTATTTTTTTATAGCCATGTAAACTTAAATGTTCAGTCCATTTTTAACTTTTCGGAAAACTTCAAAGTTGAATTTAAAAAAACCTAGATGATATTTGCCAGAAAATTTAGATTTGATGCAACCCTACATCAATGCACGTCAAAACAAAATATTTACTTTGAAGCTACGCCTAGTAGTTTCTTTTTAAATCGAAGTTAAATGATGCGATTTGGGTATTTTGGTGAAATTACTAAAAAAAATAATTTAAAAGTAGCCGCCTGTCATGGAACGTGTTAAGGGGGCTGAAAATATAGGAAATGACCCATTCTATCCGCCAAATTATTTTGGCACACGATGCGCCAAACACCCTGTATTTTTAAATATTATTTGATATACTGACAATTCAAAATTGGTTTTGAAAAAAGAACCGATCGAAAGTGACACTACAGTGATGGATGGAAAATTCAAAATACAGTTAAACAATTTCTAAAACGTCAAGTCGCAAAAATTGGATTAATAACCCAGTTGTTAGTAGCACCTTCCTGTAAATTTCATAATTATATGGCTGTCCAACGAGGCAAAAATGGGAACTAATAGTTCAGTATTGATAGTAGCGCCTTCCTGACAATGCCATAGCTGGGACGGCTCAGTTTTGGACAACTTTTATACGAATTATTGATAAATTCAATTTTTTAAATAAAATTTAAACCTTTTTTAATTAAAACAATTTGAAAAAAATCACTTTTAGCGTTCCTTTTACGGTATCATCGATTTATTTATTATTATTTTTAATCACTATTTAAGACTTATCCTGCTAGTTTCGTTTCTCATTTTATACCTTATAATATTCCTATTTATGCGTAATATAATATATCAAAAACCTACCAATGTACAACTCTTTATTTTTTGGTTGTTCTCCTTTTTTTTTTTGGATGCGAGCGGGGATGGTCGACAACATGACCGCGCGGCCCTACGGAACGGATTTTCGAATTTTCGCTCGCTGGGGCCATGGGGGTCAATGATGTCCGACGCTTAATAATTCGATGTAAAGACTCAAAAACAACTATATGTTAATAAAATCCTTTATTTATGTTTATAATGTAACGATTTAACAAAAAAAAACAATCGACGAAAATTGAAAAAAAATGAAATTTTTACTTGGCCTGGTAGGAAAGTGCAGTGTCGGACAACATTGACCGCGTTGGCGTTCAATGTGTTAATTGCTTTCGGACTGTAGACTGTGAAAAGACCCTTGACTCGTAACAAAATGATTTTGGTTGATTGACATCACTATTCACGTTACTCACCCCCTTCAGGCATCGTGTCCCTCGTGGGTCGTGGGTGATCGGTATGAAAGCCATAAGACCCTGCAAAACCAGTCGATGATTATTTAAAAATTGGCCAAGTGCGTGTCGTGCCACGCGCAGTGTAGGGTTCCGTAGTTGTTCGTCGTTACCATAATATAATTTTAGAGCCAAGCAATTACTTCATCCAAAGTCACTTTTCATATTTTCTTCTAAGGAATTTTCATGAGGTATGAAATTTTATAATACACTAGCTTTCCGCCCGCGGCTTCGCCCGCGTGTAATTTTGTCTGTCACAAAAAAACGTTATCGCGCGCATCCCTGTTTCAAAAACCGGGATAAAAACTATCCTATGTCCTTTCCCGGGACTCAAACTATCTCTATGCCAAATTTCATCAAAATCGGTTCAGTGGTTTAGGCGTGAAAGCGAGACAGACAGATACTTTCGCATTTATAATATTAATATAGATGAGTTAAACGACTATTACTCTTAAACTATAATATGATCTACCTTAACCGCTATAGTTTTCCTTGAAAGTTCATAAAAAGCACTATTAATAAGACCTTTTTTACACTGAAATTAAAGCAGCTAATTTATCCCACAGGTCCCTCTGAAGGTGTGGATCATCGCAAGCGCCTCCTGTTTCGCGGTATGCGCAGCATTAGTCCTCGCCACCATCGTCGTCACACGCTGGGGCTCGCAGGCCTACACCAGACCCTTGGAGGAGCCGGTAAGTCTTGCCACAGATGTGTCCAGAGTTGCTATTAGGTGTAAGCTGCCAGAGATTCGTTCTGGATTTGAATGAGAGATGGCGCTGTCATATTTTTACATCGCGAAAAGTAAATATTGTTTGTTTTCCCAGAATATTAAATAGTTTTCCTGCTTAATTTTTTATTATGATTTATTTATTCTTTATTTCTAAAAATATATATTTAGGGACATATTCACTATTTGCTGTTTTCTTTGGATCCACAATACTATTGAATCCATACCTTTTTACCCGACTGCGTTACTCAAAAGAAGATACTGAAGTAGAGATGGGTAGTGGGTAAAAACCCATTTCACCCGATTGGGTTAAAACTGGGTGATTTGGGTAAAAACCCGGTTTTTACCCATTATCACCCATTCTGGTGGGTGAAAACAAAAATAGAGTTTTTTTAAAGTGAGAAGTGGTATTTGTTGCTAAGGGGGCGTTCTAGTGTTACGTAATGCAATCTGGGGGGAGAGGAGGTCTTGAAAAACGTTACAATGCCTTACAGTGGCGGAAGGGCGGTTCGATTTCAAGTTTTTAAGCGAAAGTACTTTGTAGTTGGTGTTGTTATTTGTAACTTTATACCGTAATGTCATTAAAGAGAGAGTTTGGCATCTTTGGCATCCCCCCCTCCATGTCCTTGCCATGATCACAAATTATTGTGTTCCTACCAAATTTCTTCTAAATCGGTTCAACGATTCTTGAAATAACACCATTTTATAAAATAATTGGTCACATCATCATAACGTGTTCAATTTTACGATTTGGCCACGATATAAATGCATATTAGTGTTAAATTTGACTTATTACTTATTAATCAATAAACTTAAATGAGAAAAATTCAATAAAAATAAAGAAAAGATACCATTTGAAATAATTATAAAATTATTTGTTTTCACCCGGTGTAAACACCCACGGGTGGAATGAAACGGGTTTTTATTGGGTTTTTACCCTCATGTGGGTTTTTACCCGGGTGGAAACCCATCTCTATACTGAAGAGCCGTAATGCTTGAGTCAAACACCAACGAAATTGAAATAGTAGACCAGTGAGCTCTTTAAGATATAATTGTATTTACCCAAGAGAGAGTTCTTTTAATATCCTACATAAAATTTTCATTTATTTACAGGAGCTTATCTACTCGCATCCACACCCAGTGTATATCACACCAAAACCGATCCCCACCACCACAGAAAGTGACCCTACATCTACTGGTAGTGACGAAGTAGAAAACGACATAGACGTTCTAGAAAAGCTGTCCATATTCAAAAATGTAGTCGCTCACAGAGAAAAAGCCAAGAAAACTGAAGATCTAATCTCCAAACCTCAAATCCACCCAGTACATGACACAACTATTGAGCACACAGAAAGAAAGATCGAGAAGAAAGATCAGGCAAGATTACCCAGCCATATCTTAGCTGGTATGGGAATAACGGGTATCAGAAGACCTATCCCAGACTTCAAGCCAACACTGCCCGATGTATTTATCCACGAAGAAATCAAACTACCCAACGGGTACATGGTTGGTCTAAGAAAGCATGATGATTACGAAGAATACTACAACGATGAAAACTTATACGATGATTACATGCAAAGTAATACAATGACTAATTACTTAATTGAAAAAGTGCAGGAACTACATGATTGGATAACCACGGATCCCGATTTTGATACTGTGAAGAATTCTACGAAAATTGCTAACAAAAGTACTGAATTTAGTCAAGTTTTGAAAGCTTTAAATGAAAGTCTAGTGCAAGGGAATGTTAGTATAATAATGAGCAAACTAAAAGACATTTACTTTGGAGATAACTACACTAGTGCGAATCATAGTAAAAGGATGATTTTGAGTAATAGCACGGATTTGCTGTCGTTTGGTATTTTGACCCTGGATGTAATGTTGCTGCATAACATTCAGCTGATGGCGTGGGAAAATCAGGTAATATTTCATGTCATTTAAGTTAATTTCTTTCTTAGGATCATGGCTGGCTATTTCTCATCGCCACGGTTCTCATCGTCACCTTCGTGGCGAATTTTATTTCTAACTTATTTCAACTTTTTGTAAACAAAAATTGTAGCGCTTGATGTGAAGATTGTATTCTCAGTAAACCAGTAAAATAGTGAGTCTCGTTTGGAAGCTTTAACGTTTTGAATTTTTTGATGCCACGAAAGTGATTCTGTACTTCACAGCAATAATTTTTTCAAACTTTATTACTGTAAATGACTCTTAAGTGTTTATAAAACATATATTTTGTCTTATTTTCATAGATAAATAGCAATAACATAATATAAATAGGTAAATACAAGATAAAATTTTACCGATTACGTCACCTACTAAGTTACAAGATTCTACGCAATTGGTTTTAGGGGGAAACTGGTGGCATTCTGAAATGCTAAAGAAGCAAAAAACGGATTATCAGTACCTCAATAAAAAGAACTCTAACTGATTATCAGTCCCTCAACAAAAATATTTTTTTTATTTAGGCCAGAGGGCCTCGTATTTTTGTTGTACAACTTTTAACTCAAACTTCAGATTAAATTTATCTTACAAACAGATACACAGTCACATATACAGACATGCATACAGTCATACAGACCGATAACAAAAATACGAGACCCTTATTTATTTATTGATGTACTGATCTCTACTTACCACGTATAATTAATTTTAAAATATTGTAAAAACATAAACACCACTCTCGTCACTATATTTTAAAATAAACCAAAGCAAGAAATCACTTTCGTGGCCTAAAATCACCTTCGTGTATAAAACACCACGAAGGTGATGCCACGAAGGTGACGAAAATTTTAGTTTTTTATGAATTATCCTTAATTTTGAATTTAACGGTTCAAGTCGAATACTACACAAATAAGTCTAACATGTTAAGTTTTCAATGGTAAAGTTTCAATTAAATTGTTTAAATTTTAGAGGTAGAAAATATTGTGCAAGCAATCGACGGTATGTCTATGGATAATCACAAAAAGTTACGTATTTTTTTCCCGGAGCGACGATCGACCTATCTCACCTCCCCAATGTTCGAAGCGCGACTGACGTTAACCGAATAAAACGCTGTGATTGGTTGCTGGTGTTCGGTTTAACGACAATCTTGTATTATTACTCAAAATTTTAGGTACCTAAAATCGTGTGACCAACGTATTTCGCTTTCTCAATTCAAAATAATTATAAGAAGAATTTTTTTGACTATTGTGTGGAAAGTATATTTAATTACGATGATTTTAGTATATGCTACACACAAATTGAATGAAAATGAAGGTGTGACACGATGAGAACGCGAAAAATGACCCCGTTTTTTATCGTTTCATGTGATTTTTTCGTATTATTTTTGCTTCTATTACGATAAAATTTATTTTGTATGTAGCTAAATAGATATTTTATCATCTGATTTCAAAGTTATTGTTCTAACTTACACCGTTTATGAACTATTATTGTGTGACCATCAAATTTGAGTGTAAATGAGAAGTACCCGGCTATTCATTGGGTCTTGCCAGAATCCAGTATCCACCGCTCCCCAATCCCCAAGCCTGTCTCCATAAGCGTGGCATTTGCTTTATAGGCAAATAAAGAATTTGGGATATGGAAAAGAGACTGACAGACAACGGTCACTGAATTACTGCGGTGCTGTTTCTCAAAATCGACTTACTTTATTGTCCTGATCAAGCAGAGGTGGAACTCAAAATATTTAGGAACTTTCAAAGCCAAATAGCTTCAATTAATACACTTTTAGGACTTTACACTGAGCCATAAAATGCCTTACCTCACTAATAAAACTTACACGCTCGTTGAACAGTGTTTTAAAGTGACGAATGGAAATGTCATTTTAAAACAGTGTTGAACAACTGTGTAACGTTTTATTAGTAAGGGGGTTAAATTCACCCAGAGTTTAATTCCAGGAGTCAGCGCGTGCTAAGATGTTGAAAGACCCAGATGTATTCGCGTTTAACGCACTCTTCATGGACCCCAGCAAGGTGGAAACTAAGCAGAACGAGGTCTACCACCACGACAATAGCGTCCCGGTGTTCAGGTTAGTGCAGTAATGAGAGTAGATGACTAGACGGCTTAGTGTTTTCATTATTGTTTTCTTTTGTAATTTAAAATGTTGGTCGGAGAGGCACCCGCTGAAAACCAGCGTCGGGGCACGCGTGTCTTGATTAATGCTGAGCGGGCGCTTTTTGGCACAAAAATCGCGTGTATAGTTTTAAGTCACTTTGTTCTGTTTTTTATTTTCTTTTTGTGTCAAATATAAAGTTTTTCTTATTTTCTTAGTGTGAGTTAACATCAACGTCCTCACTAGTGAGCGCGTTAAAAATATTTATGGAAATTTTAGTTCTTGAAAATTTCCACTGTACAATCAATCCTTCATGCATATGTCATTTTTTACGCACTCACTAGTGACGGACGACGTTTGAGGTAAACTCAAACTAAGCCCTCAGTCCTCCTGGACAAAGTAACAAACAAGATTTGTAAAAATATTCGAAATTGCCAGAGTTAACTCCAAAAACATTCACAAACTTTTTCACGTACTTTTTCATTCTCTAGACACCCATGAGGGTCCAGGATGACTTGACAGCAAGTCTGCTCTTGCTATAGCCACTAAACTAAATGGTGCTCAACTTGTGGTTGGAATTTGGAAATTGTGAAAAAAAAAAACTATATTTGGACATGTTAAGTGCCCTAATAAGAGCCTACAACCCGGTCCAGTTAACTGCGCACCTCGCTTGAACTCTCCCGCACACCTCGTTCGTACCAGAACGTCGATGTGACGTCACGGCCGCCAAGTGCGCATTTAACTCAACCGAGTTTAAATTGTTTTCCAGTAAACGCCAGAACGCCCGTCAAGACGTGGAAGACTTCGACCTCGGCAAGAGTCTGCTGGAGAGCTTCTTGGAAGTCGGCATGAGTACTGCCCGCGCCGCCATACACCTGGGACGCGCTTACAAGAACACCAAGTGAGTTTTATTTATTTACTAGCTGACCCGGCGAACTTTGTTCCGCCTTAAAGGCAGTAAATAAGCAAATTTTGACCAACCCTTTAGACCTACCCTGGACTACAACAAACATTTTAAAACCAAAATCAGCTCAATCGGCCCAGCCGTTCTCGAGTTTTAATCAGACTAACGAACAGCAATTCATTTTTATTTATACCTAGACAGATTTTATTAGGAAAACCAACAGCAACCAATACAAATAATGAAACTTCAATTTTATTGTGTCTACTTAGCCATGAAAATTAGCCATTTATGGCGATGAAAACACCCGCCTCTGTGGTCAGAAACCCTGACTTCAATTCCCAATAGGTGCAAAAGTCCGTTATCATGAGTTTCATTAAACCTTGTCGATTGGTGAAGTTATGCACCCAACATTGTTCATAGCCCTTTGGTTCCAGCGAAGCAGATTAGAATCAATCCTATGTCGTAAAAGGTGACAGTCATATCTACCTAACTTGATCTGGTCAGCATAGAGTACTTATTTAGGAATGATCTTCCATTTGCTTCTGGTAGAGAGGGTCGTGTTCCCGCATGATCTGGTGATTTATTCCCCAGACTAGCGTGCAACGCATAGAGTCAGAATGGTTCCCTCATGAATGGACTGTCGTCTGCGGTGTTTCCGGACGGATACGACCTGCAAGCTTTCAAGAGGAGAGCGTATCTTCACCTTAAAGGCCGGCAATGCACCTGTAACGCCCCTGGGTCTGCGGGTGTCTATGGGCGACGGTAATCACTTACCATCAGGTGATCCGTCTGCTCGTTTGCCTCCTGTCACGTAAAAAAAAAATGATTTGACCTCAAAGCCTTTCCACTTTCAGAGCGGTCCTCAACCAGCTCTCCACCCGAGACGCTCCGCAAGCACAGCTCTCTCGCAACATCGATGGCAACACCCAAGCATTGAACCACCTTCAGACGTCATTCTCTGGGAGCTCTAACGGGACGTATACTGAACTGGACTGTATGTGGATGCTGTACTGTAAAAACTTGGTGGCGACGAGCAAATTGAATGCGCCTTATGGGACCATGGCGAGGATTAATGGGTAAGAGAACCATGATGGATGATTGAAAAGTTTTTAGTATAAAAATAAATCTATAAGGCTGTGTGGTAGTGAAAAGTTGCATCATAAGTGTTTGATGATTTTCCATCAACAACATCAACAACAAGAATGAGAATTTAGGTTGACAATAGTGACTTCTTTTTTTACTGCTTCTACAAGCCCATATTAATGTTCGGATGCAGTTGTAAAGTTCACGACCTCATAAATGTAGCAGGAAGGCGCTGGATGTTTGGAATTATGTAAAAAATATACATAAAATTAATATAGTATTCATTACTAACCATAAAAATAAAATAATTGAATTAGGTACAGCCTACTTAGAGAAAATAAATGAATTTTTAAACATTTTTCGCAGAATGGCGCTCCGTATGCTCGCGGGTGAGCTGGCAGCAGAGAGGGCGCTGGAGACGATGGTGTCAGAAGCGCTGGCGGGCTGGGCGCCGCTCAAGTGCGACGAGCTGTTCCCGAGGTATGTGGCGCGTCAAGCTTGACATTGTGGTACCTATATTTTTTTAGTTGTAATAGCAAGATAGCAAATAATGGTCATATCACCTTTAGAAGACAGATTTTTCCAAGACATAAACTTGAAGGCGTTCTATACTCCAACTGGCCGGTTTGTTTTATTTCTTTCTCCGTAAATCATCAATTCGTAAACTGATCAACACCGTATCGCCTTTCGCGAGCTGTCATCGCCTTTCGCTCGCTGTCAACTGCGAGGCGAGGCGTTTACGTTACGGTGCGGATAAGTGTGCGTTGCAGTATGGGGTTCCATACAAAGAATACTGACCGCCTCGAGTTGATACGGTTATGATCCCTTTCCGGGTTGATTAGTGTGCTACGTCCTAAAGGAGAAAGAAATCATCGTATCACAGCACAGCTAATTGCATCAGCTACTAAATATCTCGAGAGGTCACATTAAAAATTAGGGATTAATGGTGAAAACGGGCATATTATGTGTCTCTAATTGAAAACCCATAATCTCTACATTTCATTAGTTCTGCGACAGATACAGACGACAGTGATAAAATCTATGTCATTTTATATCAGTCTATAAAGCAAAAGGTCACTGACTTACTGATTGACTGACTCATCACGATATCTCAGAAACTACATGTGCTAGGAGTCTCTTTGCATGGGGGTTCCTTTTAGAATGTAAGTGCTCACTAAGAACGGATTAAATACGAAACTCCACCCCTAAGGTTGTAAAACGGGATCCACGCGTACGAAGTCGCAGGCGGTGCTAGTAAACGATCTAACGAATTCGAAGTTAATTCACTTCCTAATCTCTTTTTTCGTATTACAGGTGCAGTAAAGTGAATGCTGCTACAGTGGTAATGGACACAATACTGCAACCCATCAGGAAAGCTCAAGCAAATAGGTTATGATCGTCAAATCCTGAATAGAGTAGTGAAAGTCACATAATGAGGGCTATCGTTTTTATACTTAACAGTTGGCACCCCTGGTGATTGACAGGACCTTACTCTACAGTGGCGCCATCTTGATGAGTGCAGATGCGATAGTCCTCCTACCACTTTAGCGCTCACAAGTTGGCGCCACTGTCTTCGCTACTAGCAAGTGACAGGACCTTACTCTACAGTGGCGCTGACTGGTGAGCGCTAAAACGATAGCCCTCATTATAAGAGAGAGAGAGAGAGAGAGAGAAGGATAGGAAAAAATAACTCTCTCTCTCTCACCAAAAATATAGAATGCTCATAGCAGCAGTGGCTATATCAAGAGATGTTGCAATTACCGGATAGATGGCGCTTAGAGAAAGTTTCTATGTTTAATATTGTGCCTAAAATTTCATTCAATATTTTGTGGGAATTTGCTCAATTAATCATCAAGTGGACGTAGATTTCTCTACTTTAAATTTAAAGTCAACTAAGTTGTAAAGATAGTAACTGTTATCTTTCATTTGAATTTGTTGATCTTTATTTTATTTATTTACCAGTGAACAATACGACTTCACTAGATACTAAGAGCGTAAGGATAGAAATAAACTTATTGATTATTTTTATTACTAATCTTACAAGACAAGTACAAAAAACGTTTTGTCTAACTTTATACAGTGTGAGTCACGTTAAAGTGTACATATGAAAATAGATGAAACTAGACCTATTCTTATCGACAAAAAAGAGGTCAAAAATTTTTTGAGATTTTTTTTTAATTTTTTATAGTTTTTTTTTCTTCCAATTACTTATTGTAAAGAAAACGTAATAACTTTTAAACTAAGCGGTATATCCTGATAAAATAAAAACAGTAATAATGCTAATTAACAGGCGATATTAAAAAATACATAAAATACACCAAAAATGCTAACAAATAATAAAAAACGATACTTTTTGAAAAAAATCTGCTTTTAAATTCGTGTTTTTTTGGTTATTTGATAAATTTCTCCAAAAAATGCCTCTATAACAGGTAGTTTTTATTACTTTGTATTATTCACTATCGTATTATCTTTGTAAAACCAAAAATCGCATGTCTCTATCCCTATCACAACATTTGCTATGATCGTTTGAACAAAGGCCTGCCACAACATTATTCTCCGCTGCAGGTAGAGACAATTTTAATTTTAACTAAAATGCTTATTTTACGTCGAAATCTTTTGTTTTTATTTGAAATCTAACTTGCCTTTATCAAAATTACAAATCTAGAGTCATTTTCAGTTTCGTTGTTAACGAAGCGTTGAATGGCGCGCCCGGAGAGGCTTAGTTCAAACGATCATTGCAAACGTTGTGATAGGGATAGAGACATGCGATTTTTGGTTTTACGAAGGTAATACGATAGAGAATAATACAAAATAATAAAAACTACCGGTTATAGGGGCATTTTTTGGAGAAATTTATCAAATAACCAAAAAAACACGAATTTAAAAGCAGGTTTTTTTCAAAAAGTATATTTTTTTATTATTTGTTGGCATTTTCTGGGTATTTTATGTATTTAATTAGTATTGTCTGTTATTTATTATTTATCCTTTTTATTTTATCAGGCTATACCTCTTAGTTTTAAAGTTATTACGTTTTCTTTACAATAAGTAATTGAAAGAAAAAAAATCTATTTTTTTTTAAATCCCAAAAAAATTTTGACCTCTTTTTTGTCGATAAAAATAGGTCTAGTTTCATTTATTTTCATAAGTACACTTTAACGTGACTCACACTGTATTTTCAAGTTTTTATTATAAAATATCTTTGAGTACTTGACACTAGATGTCGCTAAAAGTTACCGCCATCTGTTGTCGAGTAGTACAATTTGTTGCTGCTGTTCTACAACTTAAGTCAAGTAAGACATTAAAAGATGGCGCTAAAAGCACGTTGAAATGTTTTTAAAGAAAATCAATTTTCATGGATCATCATGGTAATAATAAGATTTTAAATAATAAAATTGTTTTTAGCAAAATACAGAATAAACTGTAATTATAAGTTTTGAATATGAAAAAACACTATTTTGTAGAAGATAAGGATGGATGTGATCGTTACGAATCATAATAAAATATATTTGTTATTTATAAGTAAATATAGACTGATATGAATAAAGTAGTTAAGAAACAATTTGTTTTTTTTTTTATTATTTTTCCTTCCTATAAAATTTAAATCATGCGGGTAATTTTCTCTTTATTAATGAACTAATATGCTTCTAAGTTCTTCTAGGTACCGATAAAATGCCTTATGGTCTGGTGGATTGGGGCATAGATTTATGGAAAGAGCGGGAGTGGTTCTGGTATTCCTAAAGGTCCTACATTGGCTCCTCTATTTGTGTGTGACCGGGTGTGACGACCACGACCACTCTGGCAAGAGTGTAGCGAAGAAGATGAAGAACTCCGCTATTTTCTGCTCTCTTTGTAATACTGAAGTATTTAATGAAACATTGGTATAATTGTTATTAGGTACTTTAATAAGCTACACTACGCCCTCTTCTTTGACCCCATAAACTTGCTGGTTTCTTTGCGTCAATACATCAAGGTATTTCATGAGATTCCTCAGCACATGGTTTGATGTTTTTAATTTATCGAAAAATTCCAGAATCTTTGTCTCATCCCAGACGTACTTATTTTTTTGGAGCTCTTTCATTAATTTGTTTAAGTTTGCTTCTAAAGTATCCACGCTAGCAGCGATGTAGCCAATTTTATAATCATCTCTAGAAGAATGTAGCTCTTTAACATACGCTAGCGGTGCAATCTTTTCTTTGATTTCTTTGAAACTATCTGCAAGGTGCGCTAGAAGTTTGAATTTCAAACTATCTTTCGCGATTTCATTGGTGGTCCTTCTTGTTTGTTTTGTTGAAAGTTCTGGACCTTCTGTTATGATTTCAACTTCATTTTCAATTTCAGTATCATTTTTAGCATATTTTTGTGTTGTTTTCGTGTCTCTCTTACGCCTGTAATGCACATCAGTATCGGTCTTAGGAGTCACTGGAAATTTTAGCACAAAATAAGCATTATTTCTATTAACTTTGCGTTCTTCTGCAATATTTTCGTTCAGCTTCTGAAGCACATCGTGGAGTTTATTGAAAACTACAGTAATATTCGCTATGATGTCAAATAGTTCTGTATTTAGTACTTCAGGATTATTTAGCTCTGTTGTAGTGATTACGGGAGTGCCTTTAAAGAGGTTCTTAAACCATTCCATCATTCTTCTGTTCTTCTTCGGTGCTTTTGTAGTAGTAGTTGTAACTTTTTTAGTAACAGGTTGTGTTGCGTTACTCTTCTTTTTAGATTTCTTATTGCCACTACCACCAGAGAAAAGATTCTGGATCCATGACAAGAAGTTCCTTCGCTGTTCTCTTTCTGAAATTGGCGTTGGTGTAGTGTTTTGTTTTGAAGTTTGTTGGTCATCCTCCAGACTTATTTCTCTGGATTCTAGCAATGGGGGAAGAGTTTTTATATCTGCAGCTAGGCCTTGAGAATATGGCCTCAGATCGTGAATGACAGCTAACACGTCTTTGGGAGGAAGCTGTGGCAATTTGTATGGTTCTCGTGGAGTGACGTCATTGTTCTTACTGTGAGCTGCTTCGAAATATTTGTATGCTTCTGCTATTTCGTTTAGAGTAACATTGTTGGTCACAGAGCTATGGGGTAAAGCACCTGAAAAACACCAATTACGTTTCTACAGCTTTAATAGGTAGGTTACTTCCTTCATCATCATCAGGTCATTTCTAATGACGGAACACGAAATTATGTTTATAAACTTATTTGGTTTGACTGTGAAAGACCTAACTTTAAATTAGGTAGGTACTATCCCCTAGTATGATGTACCCTACATTTAACATCATCACAAAATCACGTATTATAGAGTCGTAGCTTAGTCAATTGAGGGATTTTGATTACGTAATAAATAAGCCAGTAACTTAGAGATAATGTTTTAAATACATAAAAATACTTACAAAACAATAATATCCAGCCTATCATAGCGCTGGTGCCACACGCAAGCAAGAGAAACTAATTTGTTGATAATTTGACTCATTTTGTTTCAATTAGCGACGACACGACGTTGTTAATGTTACAACTTTCAATTAATATGAAAATGCTAGTTTCAGCCAGCGGCTTTGCCCGCTCACAGAAAGTTTAGATTTATATAAAATAAATTCAGTACTTAGAAGACACTTTCCAGGGTGCTTGTTAAATACACGTCCCAAATATAGCTCGCCCTACCACCACTTCGGGACAACATATGGGCTGGTACTTGTTACTATTCTGTGCTGGTACTAAGAAGGTAAATTTCAACTCTAGGTATGCTATGCTAGCACCATCACTACCTCCACTACTTAATTGGGAAACGCATAAAACTGCAATAGGTATATTTTAATTGGGACCAATTAACAATATTTTATGACCTTTAGTTCTCTTGTCAAACTCACAGGAGATGGAAGTACGACGTTTGGCGTTGTATTTTTGTATTTTTGTGACGGCGAAATGCGGGTACCCGCCTGTAAGTAAAAGTTGGTTTAACCAGAGTAAATACAAGGTACTCTCCCCCGCACTCATCCGCACACCCCCCGCGATCGCCCCGCGTCGATGTGACGTCACGGCTGCCAGGTGTCCTACTCTTCAGTTGGTGGATTTACCAGGAGCCTAGAGCGTTAAACCAGAGTAAATACAAATGAGTAGGTCATCTTCATAAAAACGCACCGAGCGCGGTTTGTATGTGAGCACGCCAATACGTAAGCGGCGCGCACACACACACTGACAAAATTTATTTATTATGGATTAGCGGCACATTCCGGCGTTCGGGAAGCTTCGCCATATACTCATGTCCGAAATACCGCAGTGTCTCAAGACGAAAGTCTTCGAGCAGTGTGTGTTGCCAGTGTTGACATATGGATCCGAAACGTGGTCGCTTACTATGGGCCTCATAAGAAGGCTCAAGGTCACCCAAAGGGCGATGGAGCGGGCTATGCTCGGAGTTTCCCTGCGTGATCGAATCAGAAATGAGGAGATCCGTAGGAGAACCAAAGTAACCGACATAGCTCGCAGAATTGCTAAAATCAAGTGGCAGTGGGCGGGGCACATAGCTCGTAGAGACGATGGCCGTTGGGGCAGGAAAGTTCTCGAGTGGCGACCACGGGCTGGAAAACGTAGCGTGGGCAGGCCTCCTACTAGGTGGACCGACGATCTGGTAAAGGTCGCGGGAAGAGCCTGGATGCGGGCAGCGCAGGACCGTTCATTGTGGAAAACCTTGGGGGAGGCCTTTGTCCAGCAGTGGTCGTCATTTTGCTGAAACGACGACGACGAACGAGCGGCACATTGTCAGTGCGCGTTTTGTGTTGGCGCGCTTCCTACATACAAACCGCGCTCGGTGCGTTTCTATGAAGATAACCTACTCATTTGTATTTACTCTGGTTTAACGCCCTAGGCTCCTGGTAAATCCACCAACCGAAGAGTAGGAGCCAATCCGATCAAGTTGAATGCGCACCTGGCTGCCGTGACGTCACGTCGCCGCTCTGAGCCCCGATTACGGTAATTTTTAACGTCAACAATCCAGACACGCTTCTCGATTCTGCGATACGATTGGTCGTTCAACAGCGCACGTCAGCTGTTTTGACCAATCGTATTGCAGAATCAGAAACTTATCAGAAACGCGTCTGGATTGTAGACGTTAAAAGTTACCGTAATCGGGGCTCTGGTACGGACGGGACGAACGCGGGGAGGTGTGCGGGTGAGTGCGAGGCGTTTAAATTCAAATTCAAATTATTTATTGCATGTCACATGGGTAAGGGTTTACCCGCTATTTGTCCACCACTGGTGGACATCGAGAAAAGTTGCAATGTCCACCAGTGGGGGACAGCGCTACTGAAATTTTCCCGTTGGGCCCTACTGGTGGACACTGAGAAGAAATGTGTTACTCTGTCCCTCAGTGGTGCGCAGTTACCTCGATCGGGTTGTAGCTTTATAACTAAGTACTTAGACACGACCGTGCTCGTTCCCTACCCTTCCTATAGCTACCCTCTGAGGCCCTGACTACAAGGAAATTACGTAGAACTGATAACGGGACTTCCAAAATACGAATCTCTGTTTCTACCCTAGATATGGAAACAACAAAAAAAAAACGCTCTTTCCTCTCATTCCCACCACTGCACACACTACACACTGCGGGTGTCTATGGGCGACGCTAATCACTTACCATCAGGTGATCCGTCTGCTCGTTTGCTTCCTGTCACATAAAAAAAAATTGCAATTTTTGTGCGGTCAGAATTTACAACTTTACTGGCAATATCTTCCGATCGTGGGCCTAGTTTATTCCGGGGGAAAGTTAATCAGAAATTAATCAGAAAGGATAGTTCGAGTTAAGGTTTTCATAGAGTCGAACTCCTGTGTAGCCAGCACATTGTGTGGTCTGTGGACTCTGTGGTAGCCAGTCTACAGCTTGACTGCCAATAAAAATACAACGTGAGTGCTTTATGGGAAAATTTTCCATCAGATAGGAGACGAGGTCCAGCCGGGCAGTGTTCTGCTACCCTCAACCAGAAGAGGACGATATCTGGCCAACATCATTCGAAGACAGGCAGTGGTAAGTACTCACATCACACTTCTAGTTCAAAATCACTTTTAGGCTGGGTTTTTTTAACAAACGTCAAACATCTGTCAAACTTAATTTAATACAAAAAACACCGGCAACCAGTGGCGGATTTTTGCCGCCCGTAGGCTAGGGTGGGGTTCGATCTTTATTTAACTTTTATCTTCTGAAATCGAGTAAGCGTCATCTGAAATCTGCCGCCCCTAGGACGCGGCTTATACGGCCTATTGACAGATCCAGTACTGCCGGCAAGTCAGCCTTAGTCCCCGCAGTCTTTTTGTCAGCCAATAGTTTAGTCGGACTGTTAATTAATCAGAATAAACATCATGTAATACAAGTGCGCACATTACACCGATTTGGTATTGATCGATTTCTCATACAAATAAGGCGACCAAACGATCGACCAATAAAAAGTTTGAAGTCTGCGGGAGCTCTACTTTGATTGTTACTTTACGACTCTTTACTCTCTTTAAAAACTTCTAATTTTAATTAAACACTGTCTAGACACGTATAAATACTCCTGTCTAAAATTTATTTAAACTATACTGTTTTGTTTGATTTAGGATGGCACCGGTATTAAATTCAACAAAGATGCTGACAGGGTAAGTACACAAACAATAATCATAATTTTGAGTGAATTGACACAGTTATCAAGTTTTAATTTTACACAGATGAACGCAGAAGCAAAGAAGAAAGTGGATGTGCTATCAGAAGAACTGCTGCCATACATCATAGCAGAACAGGAGCGGCGCACGAGCCTCTACAAGCGAGTTATGACCGCCATTCAGAACGGAGAGAAGGGGGTTACTATTGCGGAGATACGGAACAAACCTCCCCTCATTATTAGGAAAGGTACGAAAAATCGGAACAAACATCCTCTCCTTATTAAACGTCAGTCATTATTACAGGCATTTACAAGCGCGTCATGACCAGTGAGAAAGGGGTCACGACCGCGGAAATACGGAACAAACCTCCCCTCATTATTAGGAAAGGTACGAAAAAACCGGGACAAACTTCCTCCCCTCATTGTAAGTCAGTCATTATTATAAGCGCATCATGACTGGCAATGAGAACGGGGATAAGGGAGACACCATCGCCGAGATACGGAACAAACCTCCCCTCATTATTAGGAAAGGTACAGAAAAACCGGGACAAACATCCTCCTTTCATTTATAAGTCAGTCATTATTACAGGCGCGTCATGACCGCTATTTAGAAAGGGGAGAAGGGGGGTCACGATCGCTGAGATACGGAATTAACCTCCCCTCATTGTTAAGACAGGTACGAAAAAAATCGGAACAAACATCCTCCCCTTATAAACGTCAGTCATTATTACAGGCATTTACAGGCGCGTCATGACCGCCATCCAGAAAGGGGAGAAGGGGGTCACTATTGCGGAAATACGGAACAGACCTCCCCTTATTATTAGGAAAGGTATGAATAAAATCGGAACAAAGTTCTTTAATATCCTTTCATTATAAACTGTCATTCAATAATACAAACGCGTCATGACCGCCATCCAGAAAGGGGAGATGGGGGTCACCATCGCGGAAATACGGAACAAACCTCCCCTCATTATTAGGAAACGTATGAAAAATTATCTGAACAAATATCCCCTTATTTAGGAAGGGTAGGTATTTGAGCCAAAATAAGTAATTGGGAACAACATCCCCTGATTAAGAAAGGTGAGCCCGATCCATCACCCTTTGGGTGACCTTGAGCCTTCTTATGAGGCCCATAGTAAGCGACCACGTTTCAGATCCATATACCATCACTGGCAATACACCTACTGGTCAAAGACTTTTGTCTTGAGACCACATTCTTGGCAAATTGGTACCTATTTACTTAATAGATTGTCTATGTTCCAGGTCTCATGTTCCGCTGCCCAGCAAACCACGTGCCGAAGGAGCCCGACGGTTCGGGCATCATCATGTGCGAGAACGATATTGAGCCTACCCCCGTCATGTATGATTCGTGCCTCAGTGCGGAGGACAAGGACCTCTATGTCGCTGACAATAAGTACTTCTTTTGCAACCGTGAGTACCTCCTACACTAAATTGAGCAAAAAAAACACGCTATAGCTGTCCACCTCTGCACCATCCCAGCTAAATCCCGGTCTGTGAGCACGTAAATTTTGTTCAATGACCCCAAGCTACCCATCCTTATCGCTCGCGCGTAATTATATTGCTGTTACGCTCGCACACTCACTGTAATGTAATGGAAATAGGTACTATGGGCGGGTTACCTACGCCATATCGAATGACAAATGATCGAAAATCAAAATATCGAATACGTTTTATCGAACGATCAAAATATCGAACGATCAAAATATCGAAAGTCGATATAGACGTTTTTATTTAATTCATCTACCTTGCTCGGCCCCGGTGCATGGTTGTGTTTGGTCGTACAGTTTTGTTTTGCCAGTTAATGTGTGCCTTAAGTATTTTTGTGCCTGAAAAGTTTATAAATTTGGAGAATAATGTCCGTGGGGACCTATTATAAGCCTAGCCTGTCCCAAAAAGGAAAAACAGTCATGTCACCAAACACAACCATGCACCGGAGCCGAGCAAGGTAGATGAAATTTAATAAAAACGTCTATATCGACTTTCGATATTTTGATGGTTCGATATTTTGATCGTTCGATATTTTGATCTTTCGATATTCTGAACGTTCGATATTTTGAGCATTCGATATTTTGAACGTTCGATATTTTGATCGTTCGATGAAACGTATTCGATATTTTGATTTTCGATCATTTGTCATTCGATATGGCGTAGGTAACCCCCATAGTGGGTAGCACTTTACATGTAATGCTATAGTGTCGTCCACACGTAGAATTCGTGTTACATTACACGTATGTAAGATCATTACACATTACACCCGTCTGGACCCGACTTGAGGTTTTAATAAAGAAGTCATATTATTAACGAAATCTTAAAATGTTACTTAAATAAAATGTTATGGACTTACCGCTACACGCCGTAACAAAACAACACACACATATCACTATAAACATTTTATTACACTTGAAACACACTTCACCACCGCTCGTGATCAACTGAATTGTATTAACTTTTTGACAACGCCAACACTCAACGCTACCAACTACCCATATTATTTGCAATCTTAACGTTCCGTTTTACGCGTTGTCGTACATTTTTTTTTTTCTCACAACCTTGTTAAAAATGACCGATTGTCGTAGTTTGTGAAGTTTGTAGAAAAATAAATCAGAGCCCCGATTACGGTAATTTTTAACGTCTCCAATCCAGACGCGTTTCTCGATTCTGCGATACGATTGGTCAGCGTAATGATCAAAACAGCGTACGTCAGCTGTTTTGACCAATCGTATCGCAGAATCGAGAAACGCGTCTGGATTGGAGACGATAAAAATTACCGTAATCGGGGCTCAGCTGTCTAAACGCAGGCGACTGCAATCAATATTGCAACATAACACACCAATGTATAATCTGATCTGATATGCCATCATCTGTACCTTTTCAGGGCACAAAGTGGAGGGCCCGGACCTGCCTCGCAACGGGTCGGTGGTCATCGGCTGCGCGCCCGCAGAACGGACCTCGCTCAACTACACCAGCTCGAAGTGTGCGCTAGAAGACACTGATGACGTGGTGGTGCACTACAGATACTACCCCGATAGGGTAAAATATCCTTTCATCATCATTTCAGCCATAGGACGTCCACTGCTGAACATAGGCCTCTCCCAATTACTTCCACATCGTTATATTAGGATTTTATTTTTAACGTATTAATGGGGATTAATGAACTTTTAAGTTCATTATTCCCCATTAATAAGCTCCAATTGGCGTTAACGGGGAATAGTGGAATAAGCCCCTTGAGGGTACCACCTGCAATGGGTGCTTCGTTCGTTCGTTTCAGCCAAATGACGTCCACTGCTGGACAAAGGCCTCCCCCAAGGTTTTCCACAATGAACGGTCCTACGCTGCCCGCATCCAGGCTCTTCCCGCGACCTTTACCAGATCGTCGGTCCACCTAGTAGGAGGCCTGCCCACGCTACGTCTTCCAGCCCGTGGTCGCCACTCGAGGACTTTCCTGCCCGAATGCCCAAAGAATGGGTGCTTATCAAACTTAAATATTACTAATATTACCTCCTTAACCTACATTTCGTGTTATTTCCAGACGTACAGATTCGTGACAGAATTGGACCCGGATCGAGAGGTGTGCGATCACTGGAACCCCTGTCAAATAGGCTACATCTACAGCTTACCTTCTCCTGATCAAGCCTTGCAAGCCAACGAGCTATGGCGTGAGTATCAAGCCTTGTCACCTGTACCAAACAACAAAAATTGTTCATGCTAGAATGAACAACTTTCGTCTTCGAATCGTTTGCGTATTCGACAAAATTCGATACTCAACCTTCGAATTAAATGATAACGTGACAATTTTGATTCTCAAAATAAGTTTCGTGCAACTATTTCTCATACTAAGTTCACTTTACCACTTATTCTGTGACTTTACGACACGTTTACAAAGGCGCTGTTGTAGTTTTCGTACTAAATCTTTTGATGGCAATTCGAATACGCAAACGATTCGAACTCGAATGTTTTTCGTGCTAGACGTACTGTCATTTGCTTTCCACTGGAGGGAAGGGTCTATTCCACTTTGCTCATCTGGGTGATCAATCAAAATGGAAAAGACAGAAGGAAATCGAGCCTTAACTGGGTCGAGTTAACTGCGCACCTCCAATGTCCAATGACAGTTTAACTTTCTCCCGGGACAAACTTGACCTTCATTGGTTGGGTTTTTGTGGCGGTCAAGCTGTAGATCCTGGCTACACAGGAGTTGCAGTGGTGGGAACGAGAGGTGGGAATAGTCCCGTTAAAACTGCGCACCTCGCTGGAATGCGAGTCTCCCTCGCACTTACCCGCGCTCGCCCAGTCCGTATCAGAGCGCCGGTGACGTCACGGCTGTCAGGGTGCGCTGTTAACTCGACCGGGTAGAACTATGAACTATGTTCTTCTGATTAATTTCGTTGCGGGTCCCATGACAGTTTAACTTTCTCCGGGGACGAACTTGATCTTCACTGGTTGGGTTTTTATTGGCGGTCAAGGCAGGACCGTTCGTTGTGGAAACCTTTGGTTGGAGGCCTTCGTAGTAGTGAACGCCGTTTGGTTGAAACGAATAAAATGTTAAATAACGCTTCATTTTCATTTTTTTTACTTTATTTTATCAGTTTTAGAAGTCGATATTTTTTAATTTATTTTTTTAACTTATTTTCAGATGATTACAGTAAGTAATCTTTATTGATGTTACTTGTTATAGAAAAAGTTTTTGGATATTTGTTTGTCACTTAATAAATTGATGGTATAATTTACAGCTGAGAGTAAGTATTGTGTAGTTTATAAATTACTAGAATAAATACCTAGATTTTTCACATAATGATGATTTCACTGTAACAATATTAAATTAACTAGGTAATTCATATTATTGTATTTGAAAATTACAGACCCTGAAGGTGGGTGCTACGGAGTTTTTTTCATACAAATGTTTTTTGAAATATTTCAGTTTCATGGGATTTCATAATTATAAAAATTAGTTCATACCATCATAAACTATGTATTTTTATGTGAATCTTTACAAGGGAATTTTTTATATTTTTGCAGAATATGAAAGTAAGACTAATTTTATTACTAAAAAGAATACCTACTGGTATGCTTCGTAAACAATTAATTGCTATGTACTTAATGTATTAAAATAAAGCTTAATAGTTAAATACTGTTACTTATTTTGTTATAAAAATTCTAGAAGATGGTAAGTAAAGTTTCTGACAAAAGTATCTCTATCTAAAGTCCGGTCGCCGAGCACGTAGAATTTCGTCCAATGACCCCAAGCAACCCATCCTTGTCGCTCGCGCGCAATTATTATTGCTGTCGCTATTGTGCGACGGGCGGCCGCAGTGAGTGTGCGAGCGCGACAGCAATATAATTACGCGCGAGCGATAAGGGTAGCTTGGGGTCATTGTACGAAATTCTACGTGCTCGGCGACCGGACTATACAAGAAATAAAGTTAATAAATAAAATATTTTTAAATTATTGTTTGGTAACATTTTTCAGAAATTGTACCTGGTAAGTACGAATTATGTGTTTTTATTATACACAGTGATAAAAAAGTGCTCCACAAATTTTGGACAGTTTTTTTATTAAGTACATCACCCCATTTCGTTTTTTTAAGGTTTATCCTTGCCCAGGTGATCAAAGTGGAATTAAGCGACACTTTGGTGTCCTTTGATCACCCATGGATAAGAAGTCCGCTTTGATCACCTGGGTGATCAAAGTGGGATACCTTTCAAATCTTACACCTTTTACAGCGACCACGAAGACGACCACTGAAGCATCCGATAATCCCTCTGGATCTGACCAGGAGAGCGATGCCAACAATGAAAACACGTTCCGGCGGTCCGGCGATGTGAAGGACGAAACCACGCCCGCTGGTGATACCACCACCACTGCTGGTGATACCACTCCGACTGCTGGTGATACCACTCAGGCGATTGGTGATACCACTCCAGCGGTTGCTGATACCACCGCGCCGCCTACTGTATAGACTTGAAGACTAATTGGTAAGTTCCACCCCTTGTGGTCGTAATAAGACCACCTGCTTCGATGGTGAAAAGGTGGAAACGGCGATGTGAAGGACGATACCATGCCCGCTGGTGATACCACCACCACTGCTGGTGATACCACTCTCGCTGCTGGTGATACTACCCCGGTACCTGTTGATACCACTTCGGCGGTTGCCGATACCACCGCGCCGCCTACTGCATAGACTTGAAGACTATTGGTAAGTTCCACCACCTGTGCTTTTTTTTAAAGATTATTAGTAATTTGTATTGCACAAATAACTATTCCCTCGTGTTAAGCTAAATAAGCTTGTGTTACGAGTGGGCTCACCACAATAGTCGAGCGGCGGTGAGATTCGAATTTCGAACCCGCGTTCCTCGGATCTCGAGTCGGCCAGTCTGACCCAGGGTCTAGTGATAGGACCACCTGCTTCGTGCTGAAAAGGTGGCTCTGCTGTCCAATGTATAGGAAGATACCACCACGGCGACTGGTGATACCACCGCGCCGCCTATTGTATAACTTGAAGACTAATGGTAAGTCCATCGCCTCTAGTCTAGTGGTATGACCACCTGCTTGGATGCAGAAAAGGTGGCTCAGCGGTCCAATGTAAATGTAACGGAAGATACCATACCGGCTGCTGCTGATACCACCATCACTGCTGGTGATACCACCCCGGTACTTGCTGATACCAACGCGCCGCCTATTGTGTAACTTGAAGACTATTGGTAAGTCCAACCTCTTGTGGTCGTGATAAGACCACCTGCTTCGATGGTGAAAAGGTGGCTCTGCTGTTTAATGTGAAGGAAGAAACCACCCCCGCTGCTGGTGATACCATCCCGGCGGAGCCTGATACCACCGCGCCACCTACTGTATAACTTGAAGACTAATTGGTAAGTCCACTGCCTTTGGTCTTTGTTTTGTCTCCTAACATCGGCTTTGCCCTGGAGGGAAGTCGAACCATAACTTCGAACTCCTATGTTCTGATTAAATTCGTTGCGGGTCCAATGACAGTTTACCTTTCCCCCGGGACAAACTTGGCCTTCACTGGTTGGGTTATTGGCGGTCAAGCTGTAGATCCTGGCTACACAGGAGTTGCAGCGGTGGGAATAGTGCCGTAGTGGTAAGACCACATGCTTCGATGCTGAAAAGGTGGCTCTGCTATCCAATGTGACGAAAGATACCACTCCAGCTGCTGGTGATACCACCGCGCCACCTACTGTATAACTTGAAGACTATTGGTAAGTTCCACCGCCGGGCACATAGTACACAAAACTGACGGTCGATGGGGCAGTAAGGTTCTGGAGTGGAGGCCACCCAGCGTGGGACGTCCACCCACAAGGAGGACGCAGGCCGCTACCAATCGATCAACACAGAAATCATTGGGGGAGGCCTATGTTCAGCAGTGGACGTCCTGTGGCTGAAATGATGATGATGATGATTATATTTGTTTTCTCTGTTCCAGCTGTAGTTACCTCTTCATCCATGAAGAGCTGTAACTTCACAATCTTCACTCGATGGACTGACAAGCATCATTATTTATTAAGCAGCATGAAAAATGTAAAAAAAACAATAAATTGCATAGACGGGGTTTATTACAAAAAGTTAAACGGGCGTTGAATATTTGTTCAAATTGACTACAATGATTACAACGTCGAGTTAACTGCACACGTGGCAGCCGTGACGTCATATAGACGCTCTAGCACGGACGAGGCGAACGCGGAAACATTCTAACGAGGTGCGCAGTTAGCTTGATCGAGTTGTAGTATGGAAATGACATTTTAAACGTGTTTAACGTCTGTTTTAATTTTATGTAATAACACCAATGGTTTTTAAATACATTGTTTTATTCAAACCTGAACTCTGATGGTCAGTGTGCTTAGTGCGAGTTTAGTCCCTAGCGGATACTTTCAAGAACTAAAATTTTCATAGATATTTTGACGCACTCGCTAGCGATGTTCAATGCAAACTCGCACTAAGCATATAAGTAGAGATGTTAGAAGAAAACTAGGAGCCTTTGCTAAGAAAAAACAACGCTATAATTATTTAATTATAAATATTTTATTTTTGAATACATGCCAAATCTTATTCTACTTACAGATATATTGATAAAACCCCGTTTACGTTCAGTAATATAAATTAAAATACAGTCGAGTGATAAGAGTCTACACACGCCTACATAAATACAGGGTGTTGATTTTAATGTAAACTAGCGGCCGCCCGCGGCGTCGTACGCGTGAATCCCGTTTTAAAATACGTTCTAAAAAGAACCCCCATACAATAATTTGAGACTCCTAGCACTTGTAGTTTCTGAGATTTCGTGATCAGTGAGTGAGTCAGTCAATCAGTGACCTTTCGCTTTTATAGATATCTTCGAACATAGAACGAGGGCACTTTAACTGTCGGCATATAATAGGGAAATCGATTCTTAACTTTGAACTCCTCCTTTGTTTTTCTAATGAAAGTTTAACTTTCCCCCGGGACAAACTTGACCTTCACTGGTTGGGTTATTGGCGGTCAAGCTGTAGATCCTGGCTACACAGGAGTTGCAGCGGTGGGAACGAGAGGTGGGAATAATCCCTAGCACAATACGTCGATTTGAGTTTGTATAAAAGGTATTATTAAATAAATACTTGCATACATTAAAATCAACACCCTATATAAGTTACTACATTTTCTATAAATGTGTTATACTAAGAGATCATTTATGTGACCGTTACAATAAATTAAAATATTATCGGAATATTATTACAACTAAATAAGTTTATTATGCTAGAGTAGTAATAGAATTACAGTTGTTATTTAAAAACAAAAAACCTGAATACGCAACCCTAAAAATTCATCAATGATAAAGAGACATGTAAAGTGACACTTAAGGGCTAACTTTTTTTTACTGAATTTTTTGACGTTTATAAGTACCACTGGTGGTCAAAATTGAATAAAATATTTTTTATTTTATTTGATTAATTTGATATTTATAC